CAGTGAGGAAGCTTTTCCTGGTATCTAATCTGAATGTGTTGCAACTTGAACTAATTATTTTGTGTCCTATACTGTGGTATCGGTGAGAAGAGATCTTGAGTGTCCTCTTTGTGACAGCCTCTGAGGTACTTATATTGTGTCCCCCTCAGTCTTCTCAAGGCTGAACACACTCAGTTCTTTGTCTCTTCTCATAGGGCAGTGTTTCCAAACCCCTGATAATTTTTGTTGTCCTTTTCTAGACCCTTTCTAAGTTTTCTGCATTTCTTAAATCTTTTTTTTGAAAATTTTGTTAAGATTTTACAACTAGAACTACAAACAACAATCGTCACACACACTGGATTTACTGGATCAGCCCCCTACTACATATCTTTTAACATTTTATGATCCTAGTAGAATCCATTTATAATTTGAAAGCATCATTAGATCAAAACCAAGTCCCGTTTCTCCAGTCAATAAAATAATGATAATGATAATAATCCGAATTGGATAGAAGTCACTATCTTCCTCTTCTTCATCCATGAAATCAAGCTCATCATTTCCTACAAAGTCCTGTTTCTCTTAAACAATGTCAAAGGAAAACATCTCCAAGTTGAATGAGATTGCAATATTTTCTTTCTGTTTCAGTGGTAAATTTGATCTAAACATGTCTGGACAATTCAAAATCTTTTCAATTTTCTAATAGCAAGTAACTTCCTCACTACCACAATTACATATAAACATCAAAAATATCCATTTAACATCTCTACAGTTTTCTTACCTACTCTACTTGATAATGAGTAATACTTATATCTTTTAGAACATTTTTCTTTAAGCCAAATTACTAGTGTTTCATCTCACTTAAGCACCATTTAATCAAATATGGTTAGTTCCATATAAAAGCCCAGCTGTTTACAGTCTTTAACACATATCAACAACAATAGCTTATTAGAAATAGTCAAAGATATCTATTTAAAAATAGTATCTTTTAAACAGTATTTCATTAAGCTAAATTGCTATTTTACCAGCAATAATAGCTTAACCTTTCTACATCACGTGTGAGCATATCAAGCTGTATGAATCACCCCTTTATTTATTTATTTATTTGAATAGAAAGAAAGAAATTTCCCGTATCTTCCCTTTACACCCCTACCATGTTTATTTTTTCTTTTTTTTACCCCTCTATCAGACCTTTCTGGTTTTTTTTCCCATTAAACCACCATAATGTCTGTAATGGAGTCTTCAATTGCAGCCACATAAACATAACCTCTTTCAGATGGTCAGGTAAATTGTCCTTTTCTAAGATGACACGCAGATCCCATGGAAGCTTGCTTCATAATGTCTGCAATAGATCATGTGTCTTGAATTGTGGCCAAGCTATCTTCTCCTTCTCCAGCCTACCACGCAGATCAGTTGCACTTATTTTCTTTCCAGTTCCAGATTTTCCTTCTGCTTGTTGGATATTTTGCATATTCTGTTCAGGTGCAGGTTGCTTGTCTAAGGTGAGATTAATTGCAATATCTAATTTAATATCTAATATCTAACTTTTTTGTTCAGTTAAAAAACAATCAAGTCGCTCTAAAACAGTTTTCTGACATATTATTATTGCCTGCCGGGATAACTGCACAGCTATTAGAGAAGATCGTATTTCCAAAAATGTTTTCTGTATTTCCTCCATGATAGCAGTAAATTATCAAGACTTGGCAGGTGTCCAAGGGTCCCTGGAAGAGAAAAGTTGCCCCTGCTTCTTGGCAGCAGTCCAAGACAGACAAATGAGAGAAAGATCCTCTGTTACTCAGTTCCACAGCACAATTATTCGCCCTTGGAGAGATTAGAAGAAAATAAATCTTTTCCTTACAAACAGTTCTATCTTTCTCTCTGTTATGCGATTCGCCGCTTTTCAACTCTGTGTGTGTGTGGGGGGGAGGTTTCATTCCCCCTCCATCCGAAGGGCTTTTTAATTAGCAAGAAACACAGCTTATTCCACGGGTATCATTGCAGAAAAAAAGAAACAAAAATACGTTCCAATAGATCTGGTGTGTTCACAAAAGCTAAAACAAAGGCTAAAAAATAGTATGTCGAGAACTTGTAGAGGGCAGCTCTCCTTCCGGTGCTGCCCAGCTGAAAAAAGCTTGATTTCCTCCCACTAAATGTGGAATTGCCATTTCCACATCCTATGGGGGATTCGCCAAACAATCTGTCTTAGCCCCTACAGAGCTTAGATTGAACCCCACGGCCCACGACAGGGCAGTTACCAGAGTGATAACGGAGGTTCATTAATCACATCTGTATCATTCTGACGCCATACTTCTTCTGCCTGCATTTCTTAAATCTTGATGCCCAGAACTGACAATTTTGCAGATGAGGTCTGTCTAGCGAGTATAGGGGAATGACTGCTTCTCATGATTGGAAGTAATACTATTAACGCATCCCAAAATAGCATTTGCCCTTTTTGCAGCTGCATTGCATTGTTGGCTAATATTTAGCCTGTTGTCAATAATAACTCCAAGGTCTTTTTCTTTTCAGTTCTGTTGAGCCAGCTTTTCCTCATCTTGTATCAATGTATTTGGTTGCTTTTTCCTAGGTGGAGGACTTGGCACTTGTCCCTACTGAATAGCATTCTGTTGCTTTCAGCCCAGCATTCAAGTTCATCAAGATTGCCCTGGATCTTCATTCTGTCTTCTAGTTTGCTATTCTACCCAGTTTTGTATCATCTTTAAATCAGTGTATTATCTTTCCTTGTATTTTCTGATCCAATTGATTAATAAATATGTTGAAGAGCACTGGGCCTAGAACATTTGAGTCCTGAGGCACCCAACACTAGATTTGCATGGTACTTTATTGCATTTATTGCATAGAATTGCTGAAAGCTTTTTGTGCCTTTTTGGTCTGTGAAATGGACACATTTCAAGCAGAGGATGTGCTTCTCAGCCTCATGGCAATTATTTCCAGCATTACTGAGTTGCTTAAAATTTGGTAAAGCATCCTTCATTCATGAGGTAACCTCAAGTTCTAGGAACTCCCATCCAAAAACAGATTACAACTTCCCTGTGGCTGGGAGTACTGAAAGCTTTAATGACAGCATCCCACCTTCAACTGATGATGCTCATGCAGTCAGCATCAGCTTGAGTTTTATTAATTCATTTTCATTTTTATACCACCCCACAGCTGAAGCTCTGTGAAAATAGCAAAAGACTATATCCAAGGCAAGGCAGAACAGTGACTATGGGATGTAGAACAAACTAGCACAATGATTAATTGCAACTTGTGGTAAAAATACCAAGTCAGTAATTGTTCACTAGGTGACTGGTCTTGCATCCTCCTGTCCCCTGAACTGGCCTTGCAAGTCCACTTAAGTCCACTTGGAAGTGACAGGATTCAGCTAAATGTTTAGTATTGGTACAGTAAATGGTTTACCCAGAGAACATTCAAGGTATCTTAAATTTCTGAATGCCTATGTCAATTTGTATTATTCAGTTTAATTTTAATTGCACTGTATATTTTGTATGTTTCAGTAATGTCTTACACTCAAATTTATTAGTCAGTTATAAGACAAAAGAGTTAAGGTAGTATAGCAGTCCTGTAAACAAATAAATTAACATGGAAAGTAGGAGACTGGTTATCCAGTGGAAAGTGATTTAGAGAATGTACTTTATTACAGCAAGCACCAATGTACAAACTGGAAAATATTGGTTTAACCTGTAACTTTTCTGAGACTTCCACTCTTGACTTTTGAGTCTCACTTTGAATGTAATGTTGTACCCTTTATTCTTTTTCAGTGTTCTAACTAGTGAGGCATATATTAACCTAAGTACCTAAAAACTGTAGATAGTACTTTCTCCTCTTTTAAGAATAGACCTGCTGCAATAACAGATTGTAACCATATGGAAATCTGAGGAGGCTGCAGCTCAACAATAAAGCCTCTGCTTTATGTGCAAAGGGCAGTCTCCAGAATCTCCAAGCAGGGTCAGGAAAGCTCTCTGAAAACTGTTGCTAACCAGTGATGAGCTGCATGAACAGTCACTTCCAATTTACTTATGCTTTCAAAATGCATTTCTTTTAAAATTCCAGCACCTGCCCCGATTAGGAATACTTCATGCCTTTAAACTACTTTCTATCTTGCATTTCTTTCTGCAGATCCATTAAGGGCTATAGATGTTAATGTACTGATTGTTTTAATCTACCTCAGACTGGCAGTGTAGGAAATTGCATACAAGATGACTATTTTTCCTGTCTTTTAAAAGATATGGTTCTGAATGAGTGTGAGAATTCTAACCTGTGTCAATATTTGGTATGGACAGGTGACTGCCAGGCATAAACAACTTTTAATAGTAAATGAGGATACAGCAAATAGTATATAAAGCTACCTTTATTTGGACTTTACAGAACAGGCCAATGAATACACTGTAATTTTATAGAAAGTCTAAAAACAGTAAGTCACCTCTTTACACCAGCTATATTGTCATCTATTTTCTTTAGCTGTTACAGAAATTCCAGGTCTGAGTCCAATTTTGCCATTCAACAGGTATTCTTAAAACACAACATACATCTAAGTCCAGAATAATTTACTGGCGTCTGAAAAGTGGCCAACAATAATCTAGCTTTGACAGTCACCTATAGCCTTCTCCCACTATACAGTAAAGCACAGAAATTAATGGAAATGTAAGTTTAAAAAATGTTCTAATCATTACCCTAGCACTAAGGGAAAGGCATGGCTTTGGGAATAACTACAGGAGTTTCTAACAGTTTTAGATGTCCAAATCAGGATTGATGTACTTATTTTGCTTAAATATGTGGGCAGTCAGTTCTTCAAAGAACGTTAGTAAAATCTAGAATCATTGTATAGTGAAAGCATAGAAAATAAGGCCTGAATTATGCACAGGCATGTGCCCCTTCATAGGAATTGGGAATTTAATTTCTTAGCAAAAAGAAGGGAAGAATTAAGTAGAACAACATTCTGCATGAATTATGCCAATGTGAAAAAGATTTCTATGCAAGATGAAGTGGCAACAGGCTCTCTCAAACCTCTGTAAAATGCACATTTATTTCTACAAAAAAGACTTATGATACAGAATTGAAATCACACAAATGTAATGGTGCATCTATTAAAATATACAGAAGCTCTTAAGTAGAGCATATTTAAAAAGATGAAGGGGTTGTCAATTCTTTTATTTGTATACATTTGCATCTTCACATAATTTGATAAGTAAGCTTTTACAAAATCATGTAAAAAGCACAAGAATTGCTTGGTAAAGAGTCTGCATTTCTCCAAAAGATTTTATACAGCATGCAATTAAGGCAGCCTTTTCTTCCTCACATGGAATCCTTTCACTCAAGTAATCTTCTGCTGCAAAGATTAGGCTAGGGAGCCTGGTCTCTTCTGTCAACGCCTTTTGTCTTTCCTGTCTGATTTACGGTCTCTTTCACTCCGCGAAGTTCTTTTGCCTGACCGACTACTTTCTGATATAGACCTCTTTCTGTCCGACCTTGAACTTTTATCCTTCGATCCTTTTGCATCTCTGCTGCTACCTTTTGAAGACTTGTGACTCCTGTCTACTCCTGAACTATCCCTTCGCTTCCGATCCAAACTCCTTCTACGTTTTCTATCCCTATTGTGTCCACCACGTCCTCTGCTTCGACTTCTGCTCTCACTGCTACTAGAACTACTACTACTCTCCCGACTGCTAGTTCCAGTGGTGCTGCTACTGCTGCTGGAACTGCTTCGACTGCTACTGGTGCCACTGCTAGAACTGCTACCACTACTACTACTTGTAGAGCTAGTGCTACTAGTGCTACTACTAGTACTCCGACTTCGGCTCTTGCTGGTTTTGTTCCTTGTTCTACCACCACTACTTCTGCTCCTAATCTTGTTCTTGTTTTCTACACTTACTGCCTGGACTTGGTCTGCCTGGATTTCAGGCAGCTTTTCAGGCACTACTGATTCTTCTTTGTCTACCTGAGGCTCTTGATCTTGAGTGGATTCCAACAGTGGTGGAGGTTGTGGCCGAAGCACAGACTCTGACTGAGGCTGGGCGTCAGCCTCTGATACTGGAGTGGATTCAGGCTCCTTTTCTTCTGCCTCCTCTGGTTCAGCTTCAACTTCTGGTTTGCTGGTTTCCTCTTTCTCCAGGGCAGCAATAGGCCCCTCCTGTTCTGATTGAACATTACATTCCACTTCTGGTTCCACTTCTTTACTATTCTCATTTTCTAGTGGCTCTGTATGATCTGCCTCATTAGTTTCCATCATATCCTGCTCTCCATCTATTGGCAGAATACTTTCACCATCTTTCACTAATACAATTTCCTCCTCCTGACTTTCCTGCTGCCTGTCATTCTCTTTAACCTCAGTAACCTCTTGTACCTTAACTTCCATTTCCTCTTTCTGTTCTTCCTCCTCCTGTTCTATCTCCCCATCACTGTGACTAGCACCTACCTCCTTTTCCTCACCTAATTCTTCCATGTCTACATCATTGCTCTGATTACCTGTCTCCATCTCTTCCACCTGCTGAACCGCCTTACCCTCTTCCTGCTCCTTGTTCTGGTCTTCCTTCTTTTCTTCTTTCTGCACCTCCTGGTGTTCTTTTTCCTTCACAGACTGTCGTCTGGGCCTGGCCTCCATTTTGTTAATTTGCTCAGCAAATTCAATGCGCCTACTTTCAAACAGTGCTGAAGAACAGAAGAACATAAGATTCACTGTAACAGGCTTGTGATTCTCTTACAGATCACATGAGCCACTTCACACAATGAAAGTTTCAGAGAAATGAAAAAATCATATAACCTCAGTTCAGTATCATGTGACAAGAGCACACATTTTACTGAGTGGACTTCTTGTAGCCACCCACTGCTCATACTACAAACATGCAAGTTATAGGCTATGCACTATCAGTAATAAGAACTTGAAGCAACAATATGGTACTATCACTAAAAACATGATTAACTCTATGATTAATCACTAAAAACGCGATTAACTCTAGTTAATTCTAGTTAATTCAATTTAAAAACATTACTGCCTGCCCAATATCAGTTTAATGTTTACTACTGAAATGAAGGAACAAACAGAATACATCTACTGTGCTGGCCACAACATACCGTTTAATTTTTTTTGAGAATCATCAAACATCTTCTGGGTAGCAGGACACATTCGGCCAGGTATATAAAACAAGTGAGGCTTTGTCTTCGTTCTTATATATTTAATTATTTTGGCATTATGCTCATTCCATTCTTCTTGCTGGTGAAGAAAAAGATGACATGGTTTTTTCCAGCATAATTCAGAACACAAACAGATTAAGAGCTGCTAAATTCAGACCTACCAACTGAGCAAGTTCAACTTTTTGTTCCAATAGCCGCAGCTCTGTTTGTTTAGCACGTCTCTCCTCAAAGAGTTCTCGCCTCTCATTTTCAACCTGCTTTCTCTCTTCCTCTGCCTGGACTTCAAGTTTCTGTTCAATTTCCTGACGTCTTTTTTGCTGAGCAGAAAGTTTCAGATTGGCTTAAGGTTAGTTCCATAATGCCATTATTATTAACTATTATTATTATTAAAGTGGTTACCATAACATGCAAACTTAACTACTTTAGTGTTTTAAAGTCAAGCAAAACTATTCATTCCAAATGCTGTATTTCATGGTATAAACATATGCCATAGACAAAAGCAACACAATTTCCTAAAATATCTTAGTATTTGGTCAATAGTTGTACTTTCCCTGCTGTTTCTAAGTTTACCTCCCTGGCAGCCTCCTGTGGCATGCAGGGAGATGAGCAGAAAAAGGAATTCCTGAAGACTGGACAGAAATACCCACTGGCTAGATGCTATCTATGTACCATTTATCTATTTACTGGATTTTTATCTTGCCACATTAACTAATAAGGCTTCCTAAGTGGGTACTACATACTTGGCTTTGATCTCTGATCCTGCGTAGAAGTCTTGATACTGAAAGTTTTACCTAAGGTTGCAATCCTTATACTTATTAGGAATTCTAAAAGTCCTCAAATTATTGCTGGATTATTGCCAACATCTGATCCTGGTGGCTTGTGAGGTAAAGCACAGGTTCTTTGTGTGTCCAGCAAGGTGATTTTAAGTGAAGGCATAGTGCTCCTGGGAAAACTAAAGGTTTTTCCCGCCAACTACCAGAATTAAGTGTAAAGTGACTACTGGGAACTGTACATATACACCAATTACTTTCATTACATTTAACAGGCCTAGTTTCTAAGAAATTATATTGAGTTCTCTCTCCTTGCCTTTGCCAAAATAAAAATTAAAAAACAGAAACAAAAACAAAAAGACATTTTGAAAGTCTTCACATTTTCAAAAGCAAGGCAATGCATACATCTAGAAAGCAATTAAGTAAAACTCTTCACAAAAGGAACATCAGTTGTATTAAACCATTACATATTCTCTCTTCACAATTGACGTTTTAAATTAATACCCTCTCAGTAGCAACTGTTGATTCTTGTTTGAACTTCTGAAGTGTACCCATCAACAGACCAAATATACGCCGATTCCTATCAGAAAAGGGAGGAAAGCACAATTATACTGTAGCTTTTTGCAACTTTATTACAATCAATATCTTCCAACAGCTAATACAACTTTTAAAAAAGTAAAATCAACTAGCCTCTGCATGATTACATTTCTACAGCAACACAGAGGATAACTGGGGACAGAACAAGCAAACAGCAATCAACAAGAACATTTTGTTTAATGCACAGTATCAAGTTGTTGATTCATGACTCAAACATCATAGGTTGGATGCAAGAAAGCCTTTCAGATGGATGGGTGCCTTCCATAAGCATGAGGCACTTGATCCAGCAGAGCTTTTCTACCAATGAGGGGAAGATACTTTACTCATTCCCCACCCTCTATCAGCTCTAAAAATCTACTCTGGTGGGTGGGAGGTGCCTCTGGAATAACACAGCATGTAATGTTGGGGTGGCAGCAGCATGAAGAAAAATAAATCAGCATGGTTTTTTTTTGGTAATATAGATCACCCCAGTCTGACATTCACGGATAAATAAATCTGGTTAAACTCTTAGCAATGTAGCCTGGACATTTTCCAAAGGTTAAAGACTAAAAAACATATGACTGTTGCAATTTAATTTGGTGAGGACAGAGTACTTTATCCAGTTTATTCATTTTATTCTACATTACCTTGAAGCTCATTTGAGTAGGATGGCAATCCGAAAATATTATAAATAAGTAATAAACTTTGCCACCACCCTAATCAATCCCTCATATAACCAAAATATTGAGGAAGGAAAACAAGCCATGGAAATTAGGCCAATTTTCAGTAATCATAGATGCCTGTAGTGACCTTGTTTGTTTGAAATCTTGTTGATAGCTGATTATAGAAGTCTGAGAACCTTGGTTTAGACAACACAAGTACTGTGGAGGTTTCTGAAGAAATAGACACTATTTGCTCAAGCTGGTTTTCTTTACCAAAAATAAACAATTTTGAGCAACCTATTTTGTTTAAGAAGCTTGATTATGTAATGAATTAGATGCTGCTACCATCAACCCCCATTATTGGCTTCAACTGAACATTTTGCTCCATCAACCCAAATCTGATAGAAAGTATAAAGGGTTAAAATAATCCCCAGCATTCAGTTCTTTCCCCTCCCCAAAACATGTGTGTGTGTTAATGTATGAGGTCATCCAAGTTAACTTCTTCATAAATGACTAATCTAAAATTTGTCAAATCAAAAGTAGCCCAGCGCAACTTATTAGCCAGCTTACACTGTCAGATATAAATTTTAAGACCCACAGACTTGGTTCCTGCATTAGTACTAGCCCATGGACTGTTGAATTTTGGGTTGCTGTAATGTGTGAGAACACAGCCACGTTAGCCAACTACAATGTGAAAATCACAAAAATTCCAGGAAAAGAACTCAAGATTTGTTTGTGGCCTGGTCAAGTAACCTAAGAAGAAAACAAGCAAGTATTTTAAAAAAACCCAACAAAAACAGCTGTTGCATATGCCAGTACTATATTGTCCCAAAGGGATTTAGAATACATGGTGTAAGCACACGAACACAGTGCTCTGGGACTGTGAAAACAAACTTGTTTGATCATCTGCCCAACAAATTCTAGCTAGCTCAACATGGTATAGCATTATGTGAGAAACAGGTCATAGACATACTGCAAGGGAAGTCAGCAAATAAAAAATGTGAGAGAACAACAGCACAAATCTGAACATGAACATACTTACATTTTTAGAAATTATGTATGACACTTTGTCTATTTTGTGAACTGCCACCCCACTCTGAACATGAGATATAAATCCTTAAATTGAATGGCTTTTAAACATTTATGAACAATAGTCTGAGATCAGAATGTTAATACATTTACCCAAATTATTTTGTTTTGGGTATAAACCAAAGTGTGAATTCTGCAAGGCACCCTAAAGATAGTATGCAGACTTTGCCTGTCTTTCAAAACACTCATGAGCTGCCTGGTGGAATAGATACACTTTTTTAAAAAAATCTGAGACAGTATGAAATATTTGACACATATACAAGTATGACATACAGAAAACATCTAGCATCCCAACACTTCTTCCATTTTTTAAAAGAAAAAGACAAGAACAGGCTATATTTTTCGGAGGAGGAGAGACTGTGGCTTGAAAGAAAGTAAGATACCTTTGTTTCCCCTTCTCATCCATATTTTGATCTTGAATAAGATCTCGACGTGTTCGCTCTTTGGAGGTAGCAACAACAGAAGACTGCAACGCTGGCTGCAAGGACAGGCCAAAATTAGGTTAACAAAATTAGGTTAACAAAACAAAAAAGGGTTTCCACATTTCTCTCCCCTACACCAAACTTTAGGGTATACTTTACTTTTTTAACATCATCATCCTCTGCGTCGCTTTCATGGCGTGATTCTCGCCTTGTCCGACGTTCCCCAACCAACCTAAATTTAATTATCAGAAACTGTTATTTTGGTGAAAGTTTAAACAGCCTTAGAAAAGAATTTCAACAAAGCACAAATTCCTTTCTGTGGGACACTGCAAAATATTTTTACATAGTCTTCTTCTCCTTTTCTATCAGTTTTTTTTTTTTTTTGCTGGGATCCATTGAGCCCACTGTGGATATAATAATTTAATAGATTTATATAGGCTTTCACCATATTTGAAAGGGTGTTTACATCTTCTACACTACTTAGAGACATCAAAATACAGTGTAATATACACTTCTGCAGCTTTTTCTAGTCGTTCATGTCTTACGTACTGCTACAGAACCCCCCACCCCACCACACCAAATGTTGACTTTATACAAGGAAAGGTTTTCAATATAAGAACAATTAAAAGGCATGTAGACCTGGTTTTATGGGACTTAGTGCTAAGACCAGGAAAACAGCTGTTTGCCGAATATGTTTTATTAATCGAGAGGAAACAAATCTCTGAAGCTTATCTGCTTTTGTTTCTATAGCGCAGGGGTGGCTAAACTGAGGCACAGGAGCCACATGTAGCTGAGTTTATTTTGTGGCTCAAAGGGCTTGAAGCCTCCTGCCTACTGTCCAGTCCAGACCCAAGTGATTCCTGAGGCTCAGAATAAATGAGGGTTGGGGTTGCAGCCTCCGAGAGCTTGCCCCAGCATTCCCCGCCCACTCCTGCTACAAGTATAAACGTGCTTTGGCAGTTTTACCAATGCGGCTGCTCAGGTGGCAAATCTGGTGAGGCTATTGGAAGCAGCGGTGGTGGCAGTGTTTGCTTGGTGTTTTCAGCGGCAGCTGCCCCAGCTGCCTCCCCACCTCCAGTGAAGAATCCAAAGATGGAGAAGATTTAGGCCAACCACAAGCCTTCTAGAGTGTACATGGGATAATTGGGTGTGAACAGAAGAGGAGCTGAATGTAACCACCTGCCACATGCCATTTGCTCCATCTTCAACTTCTTCATTGGGGATATGGCTGCAGCCAAGGCAGCTGCCGCCACAGATGCTGAGGAAATGCCATCGCTGCCAGAATACCTCCACTACCTCTAAACAGCACCACTAGATTTGCTGCCTGGAGCAGCAGTGGAGGTAGAACCACCAAAGCACCTTGTGCTCATCAGCAGGGGTGGGCAGGGTTGGGTTGGGCCAGCAACCTCATGAGAAATTGCTCCAGCATGCCCTGCACCACTCCTGCTGATACTTCAAAAGAGGTATCAGGACCTCCTCACTGAATGTAGAGTGTGTGCAGACCAGTCACAGCTCCAAAGAGAATGTGTTCTTTATGGGACAGCCCCTGAAGATGGCTATCCTATTGCTGCTTGTCCCTTCTGTAGCTCCTTCAAATGTCCCTGATATTTCTCACTAAACTATAATTGCCAGGATTGCGTCTGACTACAGTTAAAAAAACAAAACAAAACCTGGTTTTTTTTTATTAACATGACATTTGCATTGAGCAGTTGTTTCTAAAGGTCCATTTCTTTGGAAGGGCATCTCAGTTAGTTTCAGGTGTCTGTCTTATCATCAGTGTATGCTTTTTTAAAAATATACATAAGTAAGAACAGACTTAGTATGACTTTCATAAAGTTACACTAAATATGTAACAATAACAATTTGTTAATGTCTTATTGCACTCAAGCATCTGATATGTACTATATGTGGCTCTTCCACTGAGCAAGTCTGGCCCCCCGCTATAGAGAATGATGCAGTACAACTTCTACACAATTTGTTCAGGAAATAGAAGTATATTTTCTACTAAAATTCTAAAGAAAAGCAGAATCAGGAAGAGGGCTAACTGCACATCTTTATTAAAAAAAGCCGATACTGAACTGTGATTACTTTTTTCTTCCCTTGTTCCTTATGTATTATACTTCAGAATGTAAACCAGTATTTTAGACAGTACCACTTTGGATGCTTTGGCATAAGAGCAGTATATAAGAAATAGCAAACATGTATTGAACCAGGTGCATGTAAAGAATCTTGAGCATAACCATTTCATTCTCTACTTGCCTATTGGTCGCCCCTTCCAAGTCCCTCTGTTTGGCTGGGGGTCCTCCTCCGCTATCCGAGAATCCACGCCTGGAATGAATCAGAGCAGAAAAAAATTTAAAAGCCAACAACCCATAATGCTTACATTTTGCTCTTCAGGTAAAGCAGCCATAAATGTGCTATACGTCGAGGTGTGAAATAACTGCCTATGTAAGAAGGACAACATTGTATGTGTAACCTCCATGGTATAATGGTATTTAAACCGATTACTTGAAGTTGGGGTTTTTTGCCCCAATATGCATTACTTTACACTTGCTTACACTGAGCTGATTTTGTAATTGTGATGTCCATTCTCCCTTTGGAACTCTTCACAATCCCTTCTACTTTTAACCATCCTAAATAGTTTGGTGTCCTCGGCAAACCTAGCCACTTTACTACTTACTCCTAATTCCAGATAAATTTATGAATAGGTCAAAAAGCATTTATCATAATAAAGAACCCCGTGGGACTCCACAGGATGGGCCATTCTCCAATTGTCTGGTACAAGAGCTGTTTCTAGAGACATATTGAAACTTTGATAAAAAGGTCATCAATTTCACATTTCAATTCTTCGACAACTCTTTGATGGATACCATCTGGACTGGGTGATTCACTTTCACTTAGTGACAGAAGACAAAACCTTATTCATAATCTGCCTTCTAGACTCCCTTCCAGAACACACAAGTTCCAAAACAGGTATCTGCTCTGCCTTCTCTGCTGTGAAGACTGATGAGAAGAATTCATTCAGTTTCTCTTTAATTTCTTCATTCCCATTAATGCTTCTTTAATTCCATTTTCATCAAATGGTCCAACTTTCTTCTCTGCTTTTGTTATGTTTGTTTATTGTTGGCCATGATGTTGTAGTATGCTCTTCAAACCACTTCCTTGCTTCTGATCATCTGCTTGCATCTCCCTTGCACAAGTTTGTGGTCTCGTCATTTTTCCCATTTGGGAGACTACTTCTTCTTGAAAGGATGCTTTTTTCCCTCCCTAATGGCTTCCTCAACTCTTGTGTTAACCATGCTGGTGATTTGCTGGACTTTATGCTACCTTTCCTCACTTGTGGTACGTATGTTATCTGTCACTCTGTTCTAGTGTTTTTGCGTAATCTCAGTGTACTTTGAAACTCTTTAAACTTCTTGAGTTCCCTCTTCAGCTTCTTTACCAGTTTCCTCGTTTTTGAGAAGTTTCATTTTTGGCAGTCTTGCACCTAACTATTAAATCTAATCGCACCTCGGTCAAACCCAAACAGCTCAGTATACATATCCTATCTGATACCACCATGGTCAAAATCAAGCAACCCATTATACATGTCCAAAGGTAGACTTTCTGCAGCTGTTGTTTACACAGGCTACACAGCAGTGTGCTAATTCAATGTTAAGGCAACTATATGTTTTCTAACTTAAAATGACCAAAACTATCTATAGGCAGAGAAAGGAAACACTGTGGCTTACAACTTTTGGGCAGCAGGAGCGGTGCAGACAACGGATGATTGTTATTTGTTAACAAATAACAATCATAGTTATTTGCATGGGTGCCTTAGGATATGTTTGGCACTCTGAACAGATTTCTTCCTTTCATGTGGGTATAGACTTTTAAAATGTTGAATTTATATGGAAGATTCTTGAATTTCTAGCCGTAAGCACATATTAATTTCTCCATGCAGAATTACTGGATAGCTGAAAAAGAAGCCACCATTACACAAAACTACCTGCAATAGCAGGAAACATAATCACTAATACATAGGTTCTCACCTCAGCAATATGTTTCCTCGCCCCCTACCTCCTCCAGGGCCTGTGAGGGTCAATAATCTACCTTGAGCGGGCCTGGAGAGAAAAAAGCACAGATATAAAAGTAAAATATAACAGCCAAGAAATCCGCGGCCATGGGATGAGTACGAGAAATAAACGCTGCATGAACCTTTTGATCAAAAGGACGCCGGAGGCCTCGTGTTTAGAGCGCAGCCGCCACCTCCCAATCACGCAGGTACTATCAACGGATTCACCAGCAGGCCTTCTTCGGTGATGACTCTTACCCACTCGTTGCAAGGCAATCTCTACCTAACTCCCGGGCGCCTCCTTTTAGTTTTTCGCTCACCGCCGCGCTAACCAGCCCCCTCGATAGATTTCTTGGAGACGACCTTATCCACCTCTTCCTGTTTATCTTAGGGGGTGATTTAAGTCCGAAACCAATGCAAATTTCGCACCACTCATTCCCCAGGACGTTTACAGGGAGCGGGAGCTCCCTCGCTGCACCTCGGGCCCTTGTCGGGAGGATAAGAGGCGGGCAATCTGAAGGCAACAGCCAAGGAGTCCCCTCAATTAACGAGCCTGCCGGCCTCCTCTAAACCCAGCCCGTATCACCGGCCGGCAGCCCGGATCCCCTTCCTCTCCCGTAGTCTCACCGCACATCGTTGGGGTCCCGACCCGTGAGCTTGCGGATATTCTCATCGACGTGCTTGAGGCTTTCCTTGGCTTTCTCGAGCTGCTCCTGTAGAGCCCGCACAGCTACCGCCATCCCGGCCACCAGAATCGCGGCCTAGCCAGCCAGGTCGGAGCAAAAAGCACGGCGGGCAAAAGGCGGCGAAGTCAGCCCACCCCCACGTAACGTAGCTCCGCCAAACAATCCACCAATCACTACTCAAGTTTTAGAACGACAACAAATCTATCCAATAGGCATTACCAGCCTGTGGCCAATCGCCACCCTGTAAAATTAAATGCCACCGGGTTGTTCCAAGGACCAACTCCCTTCTTAGCCAGTGAGGAACTCATATCGATGAAGGGACGTTGCTCTGAACCACTGCACAATCGTCTTGCTTGCTTCCTTCGGCCAATCCCGAATTGCCAGACTAGAATGACATCTCAGCAACCAACTAAATGGTCAACGTTTTTTTAAGTAAACCAATCAGGGATAAGAGGTAGGTTCTTTCAGCCTTCCACCTCTCCCGCATGACTAGCCCTAGTGATTTTCGCGCGCTCCTCGGGTCATGAGGCTCTTTGAGTGCAAGGGGCGGGACTAAGCCGAGCTGTAACGGCGAGTGATGTCTAAATTTTATGAGGCTGCAGTCCTTAGGCTCTCTCACCTGTTGGGAGTACGCTCCATTAAACTGTGGCATTTACTTTTGAGTAAATCGCAAAATCAAGATGCAAAAATGGTAAGCTAAATAAAATAGCCTAAACCAGAACATTTGTAAACCTATAAATATTAGTAATTGTGTCCCTAAAAAATTTGCCCTTGCCTCTTCTATTTTAGACTTTTTCTATTTTTATTAATTTTGAACAGAGCCAAAAAATAGGATCAAATAGTCACCAAATGGATGAGAAAACAACATGATTTTTTTTTTTTTTGCTGATTTCAGAACCACAGCTTTGAGCCTTTCCTAACATGTTCCAGATACGTTTATCAGGTGGATCCACAGCTGGCTACAGAATCATACTCAAAGAGTGCTTCTCAATGGCACTTTCTCAGACTAGGGAGAGAAAATTAGTAATGCAGGGCTCAGTACTCTTCAATGTTTTTATTCATGACTTGGATGAAGAGGTTCAGGAGCTGCTTATCAAATTTGCCAGTGAAACAAAATTGGGTAGGGCAGTCAATAGCCTGGAAGACAGAAACAAAATTTAAAATTATTTTGACAGGCTGGAGCGCTGGGCCAAAAGCAACTGATTCCACGGAGTCCATATCAATTGTGCAACCATCTCACCAAGGATGGCATCATCCATGGAGAAGACCAGTGGTGACTGCATGGGACACAACCTGCATTTTACTGGAACTGCACACTGGGTTACAGTAGTGTGATTTCATCTATGCTTTGAGTATGCAGAGTTGAAAAGCCAAATCCAATTATTGCAGAATAGACTACAAAGTAAATTGCCAATTCTTTTATCCCTTCCTCATTCTGCCTGTCTTTTTTTTTTTTTTTTTGCACAAGATGGCTCTGCCAGTACAGTTGGAATGACATACCTGTGTACCCGTAGTCAGTGCCTGGTGTGTGAATATACTGTATTAACATACCTGCCTAGTGTGAAATTTCAGAAACTACAGATGGGAATACCTTACTTGGACCAACCACAATGTCACAAAATAGTGAGCAAGCTTTTGAATTCTTTAGATTTTGAGGCTGGATGTTACGAAGTGTAGGGGAGAGGGAGAAGAGGAAGAAAAGAGCAAAAATAGAATGGATGTTCTATCTGTACAGTCCAACACAGATGAAATCATCATTTGCTTTTTATGTGGGTTGTGTAAGTACAAGAAAACCCAATGTCCTGCTCTCTTCTTGTAGCATTTAGGATTGTATTAGCAAAAAGATTATAATTACACAGTGACCCTTTCTGTTTATTTCGTGGTGTTGGAAAGTCACTGTACCATGCCTGAACCTCCAAAAGCCAGACCTGGGTCTTTAGCTCTTTAAAATGCTTGCTTTGCTTGGCATTAAAGTCTATTGTAGAGCTTACAATAGACTTTACAACTGTACAATAGCGCTTTAGTCAGCGTTCCCCTGACTGTCTGTTTTCATGAAGCAAAGGAGTTTCTCCTTCTCTCATATTAAGATGGGACAAGAACCACGCACACCACATCTGTGCAGCCTTGAATCGGGCATTACTGCTGCAGGCAAGGGGCAATAATAAACCTATGCTTTGATGTCAGTCAGCGATGGAATCTTGGCCATGCAGACAGCAACATTTTTTAGCACCTGTGTAATCAGTATTACTCCTTTAACCATATCTTTTAATTGTGTAGAACAGTGTACACATTCGCTGAATACCATAAGTTTGTAATCTATAAAAGCCAGCCACTTCCTTTATGCTCTGGTTCAGACTGTTTTCATGGAGGATCCTATTGTTTCCATCCAAACCCAGCTGGGATCCCACCTTGCAGAAGTCCCCACTGTGTGGAGTAAAAAGGCTAAATGTTACGGAAGTCCAGCTAGTTTGTTTGGTATTATTGCAATAATAAATAATCTTTCTCTTAGTAAATCAAGAGTTGGTGTATTGGTCTCTGGAAATCTTTAAAAAAAAACCCCTACTTTCCATGGCTGGGACAGCTCAGTCACACACAAGAGGAAGTTCTCTAGGCATAGTGTGTCTTGGGAAAAAGCTAAAAGAACCCATCTGACATAATTTTAGTGTTCAAAATTAATATTCCAGCACTGATAGAGTATCCTTAATAGTTTAATCCATTCAACTATTTAAACTATGCAGTATGTATTATGGGACTGTTCCCTTAAAAAGTGTTTGCAATAGGGATACAACATAATAAATGAGTTTTTTGGCTGCAGATCTTCATGAACTTCCTTGGGAATAAGTTACATAAGTCCCTGAGCAAGCACCTCTCTCCATGTATACCTATTCGACCACTTGTATCCTCCTCTGAAGTCCTCCTCCAAATACTTCCAAGTGAGTTCAAGGGGGAAAGGGCTAGTAGGGGGACATTTTCTGCTGTGATACCCAGAATCTGGAATTTGCTGGCATCAACTCTGCTTGTCTTTAGATGCCAGGTAAAAGCTTTTTTATTCAAACAAGCTTTTGGTTAGTTTGATTTATAGTTTGCTGTGATTTATTTAATTTTGGCTGTTAATTTATTGGTTGTATTTGGTTTTATTGTGTATAGTTTCATATTTTATTAAGTGAGGTGGCTTAATAATTCACCAATGTTAACATTTTTGTTTTATCCATTTTATTAATTGCATTTATATGCTGCTTTCAGCATTTGTAAGCTGCCTAAACAACCCTTGGGTTATGGGGTGGTATAGAAGTGGAATGAAATAATAAATACATAATTTTATGGGATTTACCTCTTGGTGGACATATACAGAATTGCACTGAATTGACTAATATAAGATTAACTGTGTAATCTTACATCCCAGTAGATCCCACAGGTTTTGATGGTCCTTTCTCTCAGGATTGTAGCATAGGAAAATGATTTTAGAAGCAATCATATGTAGACTTCACTATTATTGCTATGATAATTAGTAAATCATGTTTGCAATCTTATCTTCTATTACTACTACTACTAATAATAATTTCTGTACCACCAATAGCCAAAGCTCTTTGGGTAGTTCACAACATTTAAGTCACCCATACAGATTTCAACCAGGCCTATCCCTGATCTGATATTCAAATGGATATGACGTATATTGGGGTTTCCTTAATCTACCTCACATGTGTACTAGGAGGTTAACAAATTTCATGTTCACGAAGCTATTTGGAAAAAGGACCACAGTATTGCATCAAACAAATATATGTATTATTTAAGTCTGTGGCACTTGAAGGATTTATTCAGCAGTGTCCCTCTGCCAGTGGAATAGCATCACTCACAGATCTGGTCCAGAAAGTTAGGGCACCCTTTGAAGTGGATTTGCTTTTTTATTTAATAGATTTATATGGCAGCAATCACAGTAAAAAGCATCTCTAAAGTGGTCTACAAGAAAAAATACATGATATACATTAAAGTACAATTAAAGTACATAAATAACTGCTAAAAAATAAATTTATATACCGGAGAGAGTGCCTTCTCTCTTATCAGTCTGCCTTGGATCAGTCTGGTCATTGGATCATATGGACTTATCCCTGATTGGAGTCTTCCTAGAGAAGGGCCTTCAGTGTAGCAGCCCCAGTTCTGTGGAACAATTTTATTTCAGGAAGCATTGCTGAAATAACCAGCTGGAGTTTTATATTGATTTTGTATTTAACATACTTTTTATTATCTGTTTCATATTTTATTGTTCACCATTCTGTCATATTCAGACCAGAATATGGAGTGGTACATAAATCTTAGTAAACAAATAAAACAATATATTAAGAAAACATTAAAACCAGTATAACACCATAATTACAAACTGGGTAGCATACTAACTCAGGAAAGGCCTGGGTAAAAAAAGGGTCTTTTATTGACTTCCAGAATAATATGTATGTGCCCAGGGGAATTTTAGGGTGAAAGAGGAAAAGTGGAAATCTGTTTCCATAATGCTGCATGTAGCCCTACCAAATACATTATTGTATAAGCTTTTGAGGGTCAGAGCTCAGGATCTAAAACATAACACATTTGTTAGTGTTGAGTATGCTGCAAGAAAACACGCCCTCCCTTCATGTTGTTGCTTAAAACAGTCCAATTTAGCTGCCTGTCTGTGGAGAATCTTTACTTGAAGTAAGCCTTCACATTTTTGTACTAGTTCCTAGTGTAGAAACATGAAATATTAAGATCATCATCACCATCACAGCAGTCCTTCCAAGAATTCTGGTAATGTTGGGCCAGTGTTTTCACTGGACATGGAACCACTGATTGGTTCAAAATTGAGAAAGGAGTTCAGCAAGGCTGTATACTGTCACCCTGCCTATTTAACTTCTATGCAGAGCACATCATGAGAAAGGCGGGTCTAGATGAATCACCAGTTGGAATTAAGATGGCTGGGAGAAATATCAACAACCTCAGATATGCAGATGATACCACTCTAATGGCAGAAAGTGAAGAGG